CTCTTCCGAGTCGTCGACATTATCCTAATGTAAATTTATCATCATTTGGTATTAGTCATCTCGGTGTAATATGAAAAAATATATTATATGATAATAATTATAAATTCTTTAAGAAGATGGGAGCCGAGATATTGTAACGAGCGCTGCAAAACTAAGATAGTCATGTTAAATTACGACAGAGTAAGAGTTGTTTATACGCCATTATGGTTATATAGCAAAGACTTTAATAATTGTATTTAGTTATTTTGTGGATAATAAGATACCTTAATAATAGTAATAATAATAATAATAATAATAATAATAATAATAATAATAATAATAATAATAATAATAATAATAATAATAATAATAATAATAATAGTAATAATAGTAATAATAATACTAAGCATAATTAGTTTTAGCAGTCTGAATTATTCTAAATACAAATATTGTGAATTATTTTCTTTCATTCTAATAATAATATGCTGAATAATTGCTATAGAAAAGAAAATTTGTAAGAAGTATGACCCGATTAAACGTTCACCAAAAATTTGAAATAGATAAAAACAAGTTTTCATATTTCCCTTTTTGCATAATATCTTAAACTTTCAATAACAAAAACATCATTTTCAATCATTCTAATAATGATCAAATATTTCTAAGAACACTGTTTCTTCACACGTAAAAATATTAACCGTCAAATTACGTTATTTTCGTAATAAAAGTTTAATAATGCATCCGTTGAATTATATATATTATCGCGATTTGACTGTATTTTATGCGACTTATTCGTAAGTTAAGGTAGAATTTTAAATTATTGAACGAAGGATAATCAAGGCATTCATTGTATTATTTAGGCAATTTGATATATTACCAACGTGACGAAATTGTCGTCGAAAGATTAGCCGAATATTAAGTTAGACAACCTATGAGAAACTATAACGTACGTCTTGCATTTCGCCCGAGGCTTCGTACACCCACTTCTCCGACGCTTCGGAATTCTCACTTAATTCTTTAACCAAAGTCGAGTAAGTCTTTGCCAATGTCGTGGGTGGCTCTGCAGTGGAACTTTTCGAGATCTTGAGTCCGAAAACGCTCGTACTGAGTGAGCCGGCGTAAGTTTGCCACCAGCAGTATACCTCACCTGCTACACATAAGCAATGCGAACCACGGTCGTCCGATGGGATCTATAAAGGTATAAAAATTCAGTAGTCATAGCAGTTTATCAACGAAGCAATTTCAAGTTGCCAATAAAACGGGTAAAAGAGTATCGGCTCATTATAATACCAAATTCCTTTTTTTTTTTTTTTTTTTTTTTTTTTTTTTAAATACAATATGAACGTTAACACGATTTTTTTTTATCAGTCGTTGTCTGTAATATGGAAAGCTTCACGCGGTAAATCAAGTTCGTTAGGTTTTAAATTAAAAAAAAAAAAATCTCTTTTTATTGCGTGTGAATTCGTGCGTGGTGTTGCAGCTGATTTTGCAAAATTTTTCCATTTCCACGTGGAATTTGTGAATGGCTTTTTTTTTTTTTTATTTTTTTTTTTAAGTAAAACATTATAGTTTACATCACGTCTTTATTGATAAAACATACTGGGTATATTGAAATTTATATTTATATATTTTATTATTTTTTAAGTTATCGTTTCTTAAGAGGCCGAAGAATTTACTACTTCAGATTTATTGAGATTTCATTTCTTTAAAATTGAAAAGTTGAAAGAAAATTTTGGCAAACAATGTTATCGATATACACTGCATTTTTATACTTTCATAAGCACAATAATTTTCAGTTTTAAGTTACTTGATGTTAGATTTGTAATAGTACTTAGGCTTAGCAGATATAATATCGATATAGCATCGTTACGGTTAAAAAATTGAAGTAGTGTAGTTGCAGTAGCGATTAACGAATGGATGACCGTCCTGTTTTTTTTTTTTTTTTTTTTTTTTTTTTTTTTTTTTTTTTTTTTTTTTTTTTTATATAAAAATAGATCATTTTCATTTTTATAATACTTCGTAAAGTCAATATTTATGTAAGAAAGTGATTTTTTAAATTCATTTCTGAATAAAACGACTAAAACTGTATATATCTTAAAAACAATGAATATACGATGCAAATGGAATAGTTGTACAAACTTTAAAACATCTATTATGAAAAAAAAAAAAAAAAATAGAATTAAAAAATCTATAATTTACATATATTATAATTTTCTACGGAGTTCGGAATCTAGTTCGGAATCTAGAAAGTCAAGTGTAGCTATTGTTTGATGTAGCATATAAATTATATACGTATAGGGTGGTAGTAAAATATGTAAAATATGATAATAAATGAGAAAAGGGTGAAGATTTTTTTTCGGAATGTATAAATAGCGACGGAATAAATGGCTAAATGTGAGAGACTTAGTTGAAGAGGATACCTTGAGTTTTAAGAAATAGTAAGAGAGAAATGTGAATACGATGAGCATATATATGTGTATGACCTGATTTGTCGCTTGTTTCATTGCACTTGACTCAATTTTCCGAGAAACGTCAATATATTTAAAATTCAAAACGTCAATAATTAGATGAACGTGTAACTATTGAAAATTATAGAAAAAAAAAACAAAAAATTATTACCTACAAAGTAACATTGTTATATATGGTTTTGTTAAAGCATTTTTTCTTTTTATCGATTATCCCGTTTATGAAGTTCTATAAGTGAGCGTATTTCTCTATTACATCTTTGTTTTATATCAAATAAAATTATTCCAAGAATATTTCAAGATTATAAATAAAATAATTTTATTAAAACTTACAATGGAATTTTTCAAAATTATCAGTCCCCTAAAGAGAAACATCTTTCTTTACAAATAAATTTACTTTATACTCGTTTATTACTTTTCCGTATAATTGCAATTGAATACGATTTTCATCGAGAATACTTTTTGCACGTATTATATTAAACGAATATTATTCTTATTTGAGGACTTGTAGTTATATGATTTGCAGTTTCTTTTTATCGCTTTATTAAATGAAATTTTCCTACAGATAATTAATTGTTATTCTTAAATGTGTGTCTCACTCGTATTAATTGAAATCTACAGATAATTAATTGTTATTCTTAAATGTGTGTCTCACTCGTCGTAACAAATAATAATTTATTCTGTAAAATACATATAATTAGAAGATATTCGATGTAACTGTGAGGTCAAAGCAAGTAGAGAAAAATGAACGTGTACGCCCACCGCGAACGAACAATAAATCCAAAGGATCTTCTTCGTATACAGTAAAACTTATAATATATAATATTATAATTAATGTCTACAAACAAAAATATTTATATATATATATATATATATATATATATATATATATATAAATAATATTAACTAAAATAATGGTTAAGTAGTGAAATTCTTTCCAGTGACATGACCAAAAAGAAATTGTAAATAAATATTATTAATTCATTTGATGTAATTAAAAATAAGCATATCATACTTACTTACTTTACTTCTTAAAATATATTTATATATACAGTTATTTTCATTTGTATTGAGTATATCGTGCTTTTTATATATTTAATATGGATATCTAGTTACAAGCTCTCGTTATGATATGAGCCTCCACTCGGAAATGAAAAGTGTATATGCACTGATAGTTTAGTTGAAAAGAGCATCCGATAGGAAACGCAAGTATCGAGGTTCAATTTCCGGTCGAATAAAACTGAATACTATAATATTTTCAATTACTTCATTTGTTATCACGAACTCTGTGATAGATACATTTAATATCTTAAAATATTTCGTTCACTTTTGTTTTTATAATATCAAAGAGAACGAATATATATATATATATATATATATATATATATTATATATTATTTTCTCTGATTTACACATGCGATATTTTACTACTCGTTTTCATTAGGTAAAACATTTATTTGCATTTTTAATAAATGATTTTTCAATTACTCTTATACCTATTTTCCGTTTACTTCGGTTAATTATTAATTCTCGGGAACACATTAACTACGTGCTTTATTTTCCTATAATACACTGTTACAAAAGAACCTCTCAACTTGAAATAAATTATATTTTGATTTATAGTAGAACTATGTACGATATAGCTCTCAAATTTACAAATAATACCATCAGTCATGTTCATACAAAATATTATTAACGAAGGATCACAAAATTATAACCGGTCTCGTATAAGCTTATCGAATGTCATTAAACAACAATAATGATAACAATAACAACAACAACAACAACAACAACAACAACAACAACAACAACAATAACAATTTCGACAATTGAATGACGGTGGATGGGTGGATTGCACGAAAATAGTTGCATTATATTACGATAAAAAAGTATCGAATTAATCTAATTAAGTTGGACATATACAAAAGAATGTTTAATTATTATTTAATATTATAAATAATTGAAACTATTAGCAATTAAATATTTCGTTATTTTTTATTATGCGGCTGATAGTAGTGACGGTTGTCGTTATGGTCGGAGGACTTTGTTAATTCCTATTCCGATAGCCCTGCGCCGACACCCTCAATCTACTTCTAAATTAATTTATAGTGCAAATTGGGGGTTACGGGGATAATGTAAAATTTACTAGATATTAAGTAAGACTACTGAACCTTTAATCTCAGTTTGTATTATTGAACAGAAGCTTATGAGTGGACGACACAAATTTAACCGCCGAGATGGACAGATTTGATTTTCACGTAATTAATAGTAAGATATTTTTGGCATTTGAAAGAAAGAATATGTAATAAAACATAGAATACATGATGTATTCACGTGGTACATCACCTGTCGTATTTTTCTATACCTGGTTACACACATGTAGATCTTTTAGGGTAAATTTTTGCATTAATAAGACTTTCTTACAAACGCTAAATGTAGAACGCGAGGATATTCTTACTTTTCCTTCATCTATCTAATAAATTATTAATAATGCAACTACCAAAAAATTATTTCATTAATCATTCATTTTTTCTTGAAAAGGCATTATGTCAAACTATTTATCCATGCAATATTTATAACTGTTTAATTGTTTTATCTACATTTACGGTTAAATTTATAATGGAAACCCGCGTTTATTATGTTAAATTCAAGTAAAGCATTGTTTTAAAAAACTAATGTATTTTGCCAAAAATAGTTTTACATAATTATATTACTGGGAATTTAAATAAATCGTTATTATAATTTGTCATTTAATTTAAAAATCTCCGAGCAAAGGTTACGTAAATAGCAATTTTTTCGGAATCAATTTTTACGTAGAAAGTACGGCTTTAAACAGTCCTTTTACTCTTTTCAATTTCTAAATAAATACATCAAAGCCATTATATCGCAGAATATTCATGTACTTTTTTTACATGAAATTTCAATGAAGTATCACTATTATGTGTAAAATAGGTGTGGCCAAAATAAAAATTTATAGTCTTATAAATATTTATAGAATTATTTGTTTAGGATAAATGGCTTTTATCTCATTTTTTATCAAATTTTTTCTCATTTTCCACTCTCTGCAATTATACAAATTCAAATGTTTATTATACATCGTATTATATTAATCCTTATGAATTTAAACATTACATAAGTTCTCTGTTGAAGGCTTTAATTGTATTTTATTTTTAACTTGATTTATTATAGTGCATGAACTTTTCAATGTTTCTCTTAATTTAATAGGAATAAATTTAATATATATAAATATATATATAAAAAATATATATATATATATATATTCTATATTACATTTTCATCGAATTTTTCTTATAAAGAGAAATTAAGTAAATAAATAATACGCACATTTTAAATGTGGCAATAATATAGAGTTTTAAATATATTGTATTGGCAATGTTTATTTTAACGCACGAAATATTCGATAAAATTCATATTTTCTGTTATTTAAGTCAATAGAAGTATAATATAAATTATATAATTCCTTTAAAACATATATATTATTAATTGGTATAACTTTTTGATTTTGAATTATGATTTTGAATTATTACTATACCATTAATATTATTGCTCGCATATAAAAGAATGCTTGCAAAAAAAAATTTATACATAGATTTATTAAGTTTAGCATTCAAATATGCATTTAAATGCATTAATTATATCGTATATTTTAATATGCAAGCAGTGCGAAAAATAAAATCAATAAGACTATGTCATAAAAAAAAATAACTATCACATTTAGAAAAATAATTTTTGTTTGGGAAAAATATATACTTTATGGTGAAAAAATTTCAAAAAGCAATTAAAATGAAAGAATATCCAACAGTTGATTAATGTTAAAGTGTATTCATTACTTTGAAAACTAGTTTGTTGGTATTAACAAGGAAAGAGAGAAAAAGTCTTGTTTACTCTTAAAATCATTTGAAATTCTGTGAAATAAAAATGATGGTATAAGAGTGTTTTATTTCGCTTTTATTATATTTTGTTTCAATAAAAAATTTATTTTATATTCTCCAATACAATAACAATAAAAATACGACCAGCATTTTATAAAATTATAATATTTCATAACTATATGTTCTTACATAAATTTCTTTAAAATAATGATAGTGATAAAATTGCTGCTGATTGACTATAATTAAAAATTATGTTTTTTATAGTAGACGTTTTTCTTTTTTTTCTTTTTTGGAAATTTAAATTTAATTTAATGAAATGATTTACAAAATGTATTTATTTATAATAATTACAACATTTTTTTTCTTCTATATTGCAAAAATATCTACAAAGCAGAAAACGGTGCTTTTAAAATTTTTTTGTAATTCGTTTTATTAATATAATTTATGATAAATCTTTTAAATATTTATAACCGTTATTTACTATATTATTTACTATAGTATTTCGCTTAAACTGTTAATATTTACAATGAGCGAACACCCCTATTTTGTTTTTTTATGTAAATAGATCACTTTTTTCAATTATATTTATATATGCAAATAAAGTAAAATTGGATTAGAATATTAAATCACAAATAGAATGTTAGACGGATGAAAAATACATTGGAAATTATACTTCTCATACATCATTGTTGAATATTTAATAAATTCATCTAACTAGCAGAATATGGTAATATTGATGATAAATTATCAACTATCGGGCATTAAAGGCATACTAGATTAAACGTGACATTAGTTCATGAAAATTAATGCTATTTCTATCTTATGTGCAGCTACGTGTTTATATTTAACAAATACGTTGCGGTAGAAAACCAACGAGGGGAAGATTATGGTATTTGATTTACCATTTCGCTATGCGCGAAGGTTTTATTGTTTACGATGCAGCTCTTGGTGAATGGTGGATTGGTGTAGGCTTCGTGGCTTGGATTACCATCAATGTCATTGCGCATTGCTACGTCGACCTCTCCAATCAGCATTTCGCTGCTGCTTCGACCTGGTGCTGAAAAATTTTAACCATATTATCCCTCTACGTACTATTACGTCTACGTACTAATACTGCGTGCAAAATAATGGGGATAAATAGCCTTGATTGAAAGTAATAATTGAAAGTTTTACTAGTAAAAAAAAAAAAAAAAAAAAAAAAAAAAAAAAAAAAAAACTATAATCTAAAGTGCGCGCTCTGATGTGACATTTTGCGACATTTAAGCCTGAAAATCAATGCTTTGTGATGGCACATCGTTTCTCCATTGAAGAAAATTCCTAGTTATTTGAGCGTGACAATTCTGTTAAAAATATGATGTCATAATATTGCCATATTACAGAAATAGTTCGATAGATAAATAGATCTGTATGCCTATCCGTAAATTAATTAATGTAAATAAATGCAAATAAATAGATAGGGAGAGAGACTGATTTGATAAATCCCTTAAAATTTTAGTTTTTGTATTGAAATTTTATATAAATTTTGCATACATCGTGTTATATAGTATTATATTATATATAATATGGCTACATATGTGTAATATATACATAAATGATTTTTTGTTTTTGTTTTTGTTATTTTAAATATATATTGTAGAAGATTGATTAAGAATACGTTTCTTATTCCCGATTTAATGTTGCAAAAATACTTCTTCTTTCAACTTCATTTTCTTCTTATAATGTCAAAAACGTTATTCATTAGCAAACATTACAATGCACACTGTTATTAAGAAAAAATGTTTACAAATACTTTATTGCAATATATCTGCATGTTGATGAATTAGCTGATTTACGTGTAAATAAATTGTCTTGTTTAAAGTCACAATACTTGTTATAAAGTTCTCATAGACACTTGTATTATATAGTTTGTAATTTCAGTTTTCAAAATCGTTTAACAGGTATAAATAATTTTACTAATTTCATTTATAATTTTTAGTTAAATTAATTTTCATTAATATTAACAATAAAATAATTACTAATACACGAAATTCCGTTTTCTTCCTAAATAAGAGAATCGTATATGTGATATTTATAAATGTAAATCAATGATTAAACTAATTAAACTAATGCTGTTATGATTATTGGTTTATGCGTATTTTTTATATGAAAAGTAAAGCAGATACGAAGTGGAATTATTTTTTATTAACATGTATAAAATAGCTACTCTCCCATTTAAATCCTACTCTCCCGTATAATAATAATTGAAAATTTTCGTGATTTTTAATTTGCAGCTCGTTTTCATAGTAATAAGTAAATTCTAGTGAAATTTTTAAATTTTATTCATAACGCACGAACCTAATCGTTATTTATGTATAAAATTTATTATTGAAATAGTTTGTTAACATTCGTAAAAGTGAATCTGTTTACTCAAACTTTGATGGAAATGAATTATATATTTTGAATATATCCGGATTAAATAATTCGCTAGAATAATTGTACGATTAATATAAAATCAAATTGAAATTACAATTCTGTTACCATTTTTAAATGAGTATCAATAAATTCATACATCGCTAATGCTTGAAGTTTTATAAAGTTTCATATTATTTCTTGAGCGTGATTTTGTTCAATTTATGTCAAATATTTATCATGAAGAATAACAAATAAATTATTCTATATCACAACGTTCGTTTTATTATTAAAACGCTAGATTAGATTAAAAAATGTTATAGCCATCCCAAGAGGAAGCTTTATCAATAAAAATTATTTTAATCTCCACGAATACATGCCACGAATATACAAGTATTTTTTGTTTTACATATTTTTTTAATAGTAAAAGTTGCTTCATTAAATGATGAATATAAAGAGGCCCATTAATAATTTTACAAAGTATTTAACATTTTAGTGTAACATTTTTCTGATTTTCAATTATAGAATTAATACGGTAAAATTGCGCGCATTTCACTTTTCGCGTATAGAACTTTTTCGTTACTTTTTAAAATGATCTTGTTTGCACAGACACGAATATTTTACATTGCTTCATTAATGCATTTATTTTAAACGTAAACGTCTCTTTTTTCTTATATTCTAAAATGTTATAAAATACAATAATTACTCTTATTGTCACTGTAGAAATTATCAATTTTAATCTAACCATTAGTTATCCAATAGTTTAAAATAATTTATACTTCATCTATTCTATTTAGAAATTGCAAAAAATATATATATATATATATATATATATATATATATATATATATATATAGTATGTGTATACATTCCACTAAAATTCATTTACTGCAAATAAAAGTATTATTTAGTATTATATATCGACTTTTAGCAATACCACTATAAATTTATATTAACTATCATTCATAAAAATCAACTTTTAAGCCATAATTTATAATATACATACATACATACATACATAAGTATGATATGTAGGTATAAAAAAAGGTTCATTGTTTGTAGTTGATATAGGATGGTAGAGGAAATTGAAGTATGACTGCGAACCATTTTAATGGTAATAATAAACTAAAATCTGATGTAGTACTAAAGAGGTAAGTGCATAAACAATATAAATACGTTAATAAACGAAAGTCGATAGAAAATGGAGCGAGAAAATTGTATAATAATTTGAGCGAATTTTAATTTAAAAATAAAGTTGCAATTATGAAATAGAATGTTTTACAAAATAATAGAAAATATTGTGATTAATCTTCTCGATGCATGTCTGTTATGTTAGAATGCAATATCCCAAAGTGATACATAAAGAAAACTGTATTCTTTACTTAAATGAAATTTCCCTAGGAGGATACGATATGCTTTATATTGAATTTTTTAGTAGTAAGTAAAGTCATTCGCATCTACAGGAGTTACATGCGAGTAGTATAAACTATTATACTAAAACAAGTATAAAATAGTACGTACATAGCTTATGTATTTTCTAAATGCTGATGGATAAGTTTTTTTTTTTTTTACTATTCTCTGATAATGTAGGTAGTAGATATCCAAGAAACATTATTAATTCAGAGATTTGCACGTTTTCTTTCTTCATGCAATGAAATATAATATTCAAATCTGAAATTTGCACAATAGCGACTTAAATTACAAGTGATATTCTTAATTTTGTTGCATCTCTATTTTATATTTGTAAACCCTTATAATATTTTTAAAAAAATTTTAATGAAATATTATTTGAACTTTAAATCCATATTTTAATGTATTGTATTAAAATAACATGGCGTACAGGATATAAGAAATATTGAAATTGAATGTTATGAATTAGAATGATGTAATATAATAATAATTATATTATTTGTAGAAAATATTTTATACTGTTCATTATCATTTGTTGTTTTAAAGAAATGAAACCAATTTTGTGATTTATATCTTGTTTGTTTATTTCATTGTCACTTTTTTGTGATTTCTATCTTTGTACTCTCTCTCTCTCTCTCTCTCTCTCAATCTATCTATCTATCAACCTATCTCTTTTTGTCTTACGTATAATATTCTCTATTATTTACTTGAATAAATTAGGTATGTATTAGTAAATAATTAGTAAAGCAGTAATGTAATGGGAGTATAGATTAGTGGAAAACGTATTAATTAAAGCGTTGACATAATATTAAGGTTGATGCACTAAAATTTAATGAAAGACGAGACATATTGTAAAAAAATTATATAATTTTGAAAAAGCTGCATAAATTAGTAACTTAACAATTCATTTAACTAATTATTCAAACACTAGTGTACAATATACTCTAGTTTGATGATTAATGTAATTGAAATATATTAAGCTTCCCGAAGTGCAATGCAGCTAAATCGTACTATTCTTTTTAATATTATTTACCAAAATTATCTTTTTTATATAAAATATAGTATTATTTATTTTTTTAAATATATTTATATTTGCTTTGACATTATTTATAAATGTTGTCAACTATACATTATGTTTTTCATATCACATATTATCTTATTGCTTTTCTAATAAAAATAAATATTGACTCGATTGGTTCTTAATATTATATATATATATACTTAATACGTATATTTTTAAATTAACTATCATGTTTAATTCAATAATATTATATTATATTTACATGACAACGTTTTAATGGATTAAGATTCTTGAATGGAAAAGTTTGTGTAAATTCAATATTATAATTGTGAAAAATGTTAAATAAGTATAATAAAAAAGTTTAGTTCGTGGTAGAAACCATGTTGTATGTATGAAAAATATATATTGATAGTCATAAAATATATTGGACAGTAGGTATTATCAAGGGAAATTATGGAGAGTTAATAAGACTATTAAAAAATTGAAAACATACTGATAATAATTTCATGACAATCAAAGAAACATAGCTGTTGAATTTAGATGAAAAGGATATAAATATACTGTAATTTCAATGGAAATTTCAGTTTATGATTATTATTAAGTGAGATCATTAAATTAAAAAATAACCAACATTTGAAGAGTTATCAAAGAATAATTGATCGTTAAAATCTTTCTTATTTTGAGTAAATTAATTACACGTTGAAAGCATAATGTGATTAAAAAAAAAAAAAAAAACTATGAAGAATAATGTCCACGGGGAATAAATTAATATTTCACAGAACAGAAAATGAAAAATTTTAAATATTTTTGAATTATTTTAAGAAGAATTTATAATTTATTATATTACAATAAAGCAATAAGATTTTATGTATTAAATAATTTATTACATCATCGCATGAATATCCTAAAATCTTCGAAATAAAATAATATAAAACTTGCCATTTATTCTTTTTTATAGAAAAAATGTTATATCGAACCAATGCTGATCTACATAAGCCTATAAAATTTTCCATTATATATAAATTTTTTTTAATATATCAAAGCAATGACTTCACGCCATTCTTTGAAATAATTTTCTTATTTCAATTTATTTATAATTCCATATAAATAGCTGACCATATTTGCCGAAGTATCTTAAGTGATTTTGAATTATTACTTAATTTCAACCGCTAAAGCGAAAATTATACGGACGAAGATCAATAAATCTGATTTAATCAGCGTAGCTAGCGATACAGG